AGCCGCAGTGCGCGCTGGCCTTCGCCAAGAAGCACCAGCTCAAGGTGCACCTGCTCACGCACGGCGGCGGTCAAGGCCGGCGGCCCTTCAAGTGCCCGCTGGAGGGCTGCGGCTGGGCCTTCACAACGTCCTACAAGCTTAAGCGGCACCTGCAGTCGCACGACAAGCTGCGGCCCTTCGGCTGTCCGGTGGGCGGCTGTGGCAAGAAGTTCACTACGGTCTATAACCTCAAGGCGCACATGAAGGGCCACGAGCAGGAGAGCCTGTTCAAGTGCGAGGTGTGCGCCGAGCGCTTCCCCACGCACGCCAAGCTCAGCTCCCACCAGCGCAGCCACTTCGAGCCCGAGCGCCCTTACAAGTGTGACTTTCCCGGTAACCGCGCGCTCGGGGGCGGGCGGGCTGCGCGGTGTTGCAGGCAGGCCCCCGGTGCCACGTCCGTCCCACAGAGGGGCCTGCCAGACCTTAGCAAGCCGGGGACGCAGGCTCTTCGGGATTTGTGTTCTAGCTCCTTCCATGTCATTCGATTTGAGATCTTGGCCCTGCCTTGCCGCAGGGATTTCGATGGCAGGTAGTGCAGATCACCACAGCTGCCCTTCCCAAAGGCGGCGGCAGCAGATACCCTTAACCTGCTTGCGCTTGGTGAAAGCGGCAGCGCATCTTCACAGAGTGGCACGAAGCTGTGTGTCAGGTCTTTATTTTCCTCAGTCTCGTCATTTATTTATGGGGTGCACACTCCGTGCTGGAGGAGCAGAGATGAATGTGGCCAGATTCAGGACCTTAACACGCTGGGAGGATAGCCACAGGTGTGCGCACATCCTGGCTTTTTTGCCTTTTATACTTTTATTTCCGTTGAACCTCACAGTTTTGTGAAGTTTTAAAAATTAGCCGCCTGTGAAGGTTAAAAACTGTCCTCATTTTACACATGAAGAAACAAAGGCCGAGCCTCGTGGATAAAGTCCACTGCTGGTGGCCGGGCGCTGTGGCTCACGCCTGTAATCCCAGCACTTTGGGAGGCCGAGGCGGATGGATCACAAGGTCAGGAGATCGAGACCATTCTGGCTAACACGGTGAAACCCCGTCTCTATTAAAAGCACAAAAAATTAGCCGGGCGTGGTGGCAGGCGCCTGTAGTCCCAGCTATTCGGGAGGCTGAGGCAGGAGAATGGCATGAACCCCAGAGAGGGAGCTTGCAGTGAGCCTAGATCTCGCCACTGCACTCCAGCCTGGGCGACAGAGCCAGACTCTGTCTCAAAAACAAAAACAAAAAAAGTCCACTGCTGGTTATTTCTCCGCTGTCTCCACTGTGTGGACCTGCAGTTGTAGGGAATGTAGGACTCCAACACAGTTAATTCTTCACCAGGATGGGCAGCTTTCCCTGCTTTCACAGGGACGGGGTTCCTCCAGAAGGGCAAGAGAGGATTCCTGCCTGGAAAGGCAGAAGAATGGGGTGGGCTGGATGGCAGAGCCCAGGTGGGGATTGTGGGCTGTGGTGAGGGCCCAGGAAGAAGGACCAGTCATTCAAACCAAACTGGAATGTGTGCCTAGCATGCCCTTAACCTGTATATGCACACGGCTCTCCTTATAATGTTTTCAAACAAGAATTTTGAAAGGATGAGATGATAATTATGAACGGGTTTTATTATTTTTCTCTCACATATGCCCGTGGACTGTCTTGCGCATTCCTCTTCAGAGAGAATGTGGCTTGAGGCCACTAGCTCAAAGCCTTTTTTAGTCATACATTCTTGGGAATCTGATGGTGGCTGTAGACCCTCTCCCTGCTAAAAAAGTTTCATTCTGTGTATGATGCTAGGAAGGTTAGGGATCCTGCCTGCTTCCAGGCATGAGGTCCCTTGAGGGTTTTGTGTTGGCTGATCCATGAGGCTTCTTGTGTTGAGATGAGATTAGATGGTTAAAAGCAGGAGGAGTACCAGTGAAGCATCATCAAAGGGCCCAGACCTGAATTTCCTGAGGGCCTGAGCCAGGGAGTGGGAATGATGAGGGTCTCTAGCAGGTGAGATTGCAGAGGGAGAACCAAAGGGTGTAATTATCTGTGGGGTTGTGGGGGGTTCTTGGGGATATTTTGGGACCAGATCGAGGCCAAAGATCAGCATTTCCTGGTTAGATGTTGCTGGGGAAAGTAGGGTTCCTTGGGTTGATACTTTTGGGCAGTGCTATGCCATGTGCATCTGTGTGGCAGTTCACAGGCATGATGGTATCTTGTTAAAGTCTCCAAGAAGAGCTGCAGCAAAGACCCGTGTTAAACATCCTGCAGCCTCATATTTTCCACCCTGTTGGAGCCCTGAATGTTTCTGTTGGAGGAGAAGCATTGCTGTGGAATTGTTAAGGCTTGGCTGCTTTGGCCGGGGGTTAGGATGGAGGTGAAGATTACAAAGCAGAGAACCTAAGGAAATGGCAAAAGGAAAAAGAAGTCAAATAGCAAGGGACAGGGCTGGCAGTTAGAGGGTGTCAGGGAGGAAATTTGGATGTGTAGAGGATGCAGCATCACCCCCAAGGGGTGAAAATCCTGGCCAGTAGGATGATTTGTAACCTTTCAAAGATCAACCCTGCCAGACAAAATCTTGTTCCTTAGTATTTGATTTCTCTCATGAGGTTCTTGGGTCTCAGCCTGTGTTCAGGATCAGTACTCTGGAACTGGCCAGTAGATGGCTTTGAACAGAGAACTTTCTCTTTATCAGTTGTTCCATCTCCAAGTCGTGTTGCAGCAGGTGGCCAACGTGTGCCTATTGGCTGCCATTAGCTGCCTTCTTGTGGTGATCACAAAGCCAACAAGCATTAATGGTCATCCCTTTTTAGAGAGTGCTTGTGAGTCATGTTTTTCCTTGTCTGCTTCAGGGTGAACAGTGTCCGGTGGGTGTGACTAGCATTAGCTATGTTGTATAATTTTTGCCACACTTTGAGCAGGGTTTGTGTTTTCCTTGTTCAGGCTGTGAGAAGACATTTATCACGGTGAGTGCCCTGTTTTCCCATAACCGAGCCCACTTCAGGGAACAAGAGCTCTTTTCCTGCTCCTTTCCTGGGTGCAGCAAGCAGTATGATAAAGCCTGTCGGCTGAAAATTCACCTGCGGAGCCATACAGGTAATGAGCTAGGGAACGCAAAGCATTTGGACCCAAGATTTGTCTTCATTGTAGCTGTTGGAGTTGTAAATTTTATGCTGTGTACTTTTTTTCTTTTACAAGGTGAAAGACCATTTATTTGTGACTCTGACAGTTGTGGCTGGACCTTCACCAGCATGTCCAAACTTCTAAGGCACAGAAGGTAATCCTTACATTTTGGTTTGCATTATCAGCTTTGAAAATGAGTGATTTGTCAGCAGCAGAAACTAACGAATGAAATATCTGTAGACGTTTTTTAAGTTGTAAAAATAGCTCAGTGTTGATAATTTGGAAAATTCAGAAAACTGTAAAAAAAAATTGCTGAGAATCTCATCACGTGAAAATACTTTTTTCTGTGTGTACTTTTTTTTTTTCCCCCCGAGACGGAGTCTCGCTCTGTCGCCCAGGCTGGAGTGCAGTGGCACAATCTCGGCTCACTGCAAGCTCCGCCTCCCGGATTCACGCCATTCTTCTGCCTCAGCCTCCTGGGTAGCTGGGACTACAGGCGCCTGCCACCACGCCTGGCCAATTTTTTTTTGTATTTTTAGTAGAGACGGGGTTTCACCGTGTTAGTCAGGTTGGTCTCGATCTCCTGACCTTGTGATCCGCCCACCTCAGCCTCCCAGAGTGCTGGGATTACAGGCGTGAGCCACCACACCCGGCCCTGTATATAATTTTTTTAAAAAAAACTTAATTGGTATACTCTGTTCTTTAAAAAAAAAAAATTCCAGTTTTGTTTAACTTAACATTGTAGAATAAGCTTTCTTCATGTAATTACAAGTTTTCGTGGTGGTAATGACAACCCTCAGACTGTCCAGGTGATGCTCAGCACTTTACATGTGTGTCTTCTATCTTCACAACAACCTCAAAGCTAATGTTCTTATTCTCCCTGTTTTACAGTGAGACTCGGAGAGATTCGATGGTTTTTCTGTGCTTGCACAACTGGGCTCTGAGGATTTAATATAAAAATGTCACTTAGGAAAAGACACAGTCTTTACAAGTTGGCTTAAGAGAGTCTTTTAGCATTGCAGCTGATGCTTTGTGCACATTTCTCATGGCCCTCTGTCGCTCGGAAAGCTTGTTGATCATGAGGGTTTCTAAACAATAGAAACACCTTCATCAATACATTTGGGACTCCACTGTTTTTAAATTGAAATAGCATTAATTGTTCAATGTGTGACTCTGGGGTCTGCTTAGTCATTAAGGTAGAATTTTTAACTATGGGGTAGCTAAATTGCAAATCTTCTCACATGGATTAAAGACAGAGTAAAGATTTTCTGAAATGTACTACTGATTTTTGTAAATGTAAAGTTTGTATTTTGGTATATTTTGTAGAATTTTAAACAAAGAATCATGGTGAGTTGTATGAGGAATCACAGCTCCTTTATTTTTCTGTCTGGCAGGAAACATGATGATGACCGGAGGTTTACCTGCCCTGTCGAAGGCTGTGGGAAATCGTTCACGAGGGCAGAGCATCTGAAAGGCCACAGCATAACCCACCTAGGCACAAAGCCATTCGAGTGTCCTGTGGAAGGTAGATTTTAAAACATTGCTTTGAGCAGTAAACTAAGTACCAGGCCAACATTTATGTTGTTAAGTTTCCATTGTTTGAAGGTAAATGTTAGCTGCTTAAAGACTGACTCAATATAAGTTGTGGCGTTATGTTTAGTTACCTCGTTGAGTTAATTGTACTATTTTGGGAGTAGTGACTTGAGAATCAGACATGGTTTGACTCATGGCCCTGATCCTCACTAGATCTGTGGCTCTAGTTAAGTTACCTGTTTAATTTGGTGGTCATGAGGATTAGGTGAAACGTGGAAAATGCCTGTTTATCCATCTGGCGTGGAGCTCGGACTCAGTAAATTGTAGGTACGTTTGAGATCACGTTTGAATGGTCGCTCCAATCATTTTGTAATTGCATAGTAATAAAGCTAGACTGACTTTTTTTTGTTTGTTTTAATTTTTGAGACAGAGTCTTGCTTTGTCGCCCAGGCTATAGTGCAATGGCGCAATCTTGGCTCATTGCAACCTCTGCTTCCCAGGTTTAAGTGTTTCTCATGCCTCAGCCTCCTGAGTAGCTAGGACTACAGGTGTGCGCCACCACGCTTGGCTGATTTTTATGTTTTTAGTAGAGACAGGGTTTCACCATGTTGGCCAGGCTGGTCTCAAACTCCTGACCTCAAGTGATCCACCCACTTTGGCCTCCCAAAGTGCTGGGATTACAGGTGTGAGCCACCGCACCCAACCTGACTTTTTAAAAGGGATAGTAGAGAGGTTTCTTCCTTTAAAACACTGAAGCCTTAGTTCATTTGCCAGAAATTGGCTGCGTGACCTGTGCGTGCTGGCCCTACTCTAGTTCTGCAGGTGCACTGGGAGGCAGTGAGCCAGGGCATGTCGGGTGGTCTTGGATTCAAAGTCTGGCTCTACTGCTCCCTAAAGAGGTGATCTCAGGCAAGCTGCTTCTTTGGGCCTTGGTTTCCTTATCTGAAAGAGAGAATATTAAAGACCCATTTAAAGCTGAGACTAGCTCTTAGAACATAGTGAACATATATACAAGTGAACGTATATACAGTTCCTTCTTCCATCAGGGTTTCAGCTGGAGGTGCAGACAGGGGAACAGGTAACATGTAGGGTGCTGCAGGGACACAGAGGGTTTCCCCAGACTGCTCTTCGGGGTGAGAATGGCCTCACAGTCAGCTGAAGAAGGGGAAAGAGCACCAGACATGTGCGTGTGGGTGTTGGGGGTGGAATGGCCTGGGAGAGCCTCTCAGGGCCACGAGTGGCAGGCTTGAGTGTTTGGGTGAGCGTATGATGTGATCATGTTTGAGTTGTGGCTCAGTCTGACTTCAGGAAGGAAAGCAGCCAAGGGTGTGGGGAGGTGGGATGGCCTGGATGGGGGCGTTAATGGTGGGAAAAGAGAAAGCAGCATCGATGACAGAGGTGGGAGTTAGAAGTCACAATATACGGTGATGGATTTGGATTTTAGTTGAGGTCAGTGTCTCAGCTGAGTGGATTTGGAGGAAACAGAGTTTGGTTTGGACATGTTGTGTTTTTGGTACCTTTGTGCATCTAATGCACAAAGGGCAGGGGATGTGCTGCTGGCGCTGAGGAGAGTAGACCAGGCAGGGAGCGAAGCAGACAGCACCCAAGTCGTCATTTAAGCCACAAAAGTGGATGAAATTCTCAAGGAAGAGTATAAATGGAGGAGAGGCAGGGTAGTGTAGTTGATCAAAAACCTGAATTCTGGAGTCACACTGCCTGGATTCGAGTCCCAAGTCTGCCTCGTAAGTAGCTCTGGGACCTTGGACAAACACTTGAAGCTCTCTGTGCCTCTTCCTTGTCTGTAAAGTGAATAAAACCTCGCAGGGTTGTTGGCGAAGGCTGGATTGGTTAGTAAGTTTAGAGCATATGGAAAACATCAGTACATATGTCAGTTTACTGTTGTTATGATTGCTGTTAGATTTTCTTAAAAAGGACCTAGGACAGAGCCCTGGGGCTGCCCCCGATTCCAGTGGAGTGGCTGGGATGGGTACTGGCAGGACCAGCAAGAGCACAGAGGAGGTGGTGCTGAGGTGAGAGGGGATGTGTGGAAGTGGGGGTCACCTTGAGTGCTAGGGTGAGCCAGGACCAGGGAAGACATGCCTCAGTGCCACCTGCGGGGTTGTCTTGGTGTGTTGATGGATGAGGTTCCGTGGGGTCACTCAGGCAGAGTCCTGCTCTGATGCCCTGAGAGGTGGCCTGAGTGGGAGACGGGGATGGTTTGTGCTGACACTTCCACCAGAGGTGACTGGGGAAAGGGGAAAGGTGGGAGTTGGCTGTGGAGGATGGGGGATTTATTTCTGTAGAGCTCTGTTTCTTCCAGCAAGTCTAGGTGTTCTGCTGGGAGAGAAAGGGGGCACTCCCCACGTGGTGTGGGCAGCATGTGGAGATGGAGTTGGAGCTAGTAGGAGGAGCCCAGAACCTCTTCTCAGCTGGACTGAGAGTTGATCATTCTTGGGGTTGGGCAATAGTTGGGACTGATGATACCATTTTTTCCACTTTGGTAGATGTTTGAACTGTTGTATAATAAAAAGTAAAAGGCAAAACTACCTTTTTTATAGTAACAGGAGGAGGAGGAAAGGACAGGACCACAGACCAGAAGTCTGTCTGAGGGTAGGCACTGGGTGGCATCATGACAGCCTCGGGGCTGTGTGTTGCTGGGGCCTGTGTCTCGTGTGTGGCTGAGCCTCGTGCTTGCCTGGCCATCTACATGAGCGCCTCACTGTCCTCTGAATGCAGCTTGCAGACAGGTCTGTCAGTAATGGCTGCTTCTGCCTCTCCCTGGTTGCAGCTTGGATTTGTAAAGAATGGACACAGATCTCAATATATGGGCAGAATTTGGAAAAGCCAGCAGTTAGTACACATGGAGAAATGATTACATTCCTGGTTGTCACAGGAAATACAAACCAAAATGAAATAATTTTTGCCTATGGAATTAGCAAATACTTTAAAAAATGGAAACCCAGTGCTGGCAAGAGTGTGCAAGGGTCCTGTTGTAGCGTGGCCCTGCCATTGGGAAGGCATTTTACAGAAGATGTGCTTAGAGCCTCTGCTCTGTGACCTGTCTCTAGAAATCCGTGCTCAGGACCCCCAGCTGGGAAAGGGGGTTCCAGGGTACCCTGTGTACCATGGTGAGCAGGGCATGCGGAGGAAACTGTGCATTTGCAGGGCAAGCCTGGGCCGTCGGACCATCTCCTGTGTTTCCCAGATGGTCTTTGTTGAGCCTGACCTGGAAATGAATTTGCAGCTGTATTAGAAAATGAAAAATGTAGTTGAAAACTACATTCACAGGCAGCCAAGACCCTTACTCATCTGGCCGTATCCTATCTTCATAGCCTCTTTCCTTAAAATATCCCTCCTCCAGGTGCTGGGCTCCAGCAGTACCGCCCCACCGTCCTGAGAAAGTGCTGCGAGTGCGTCGTTGCTCGCTCCACTTGCTTAGGTCCGTGCAGAGGCTCTGTAGACAGGTATGGCTTTATTGGGCCCTCAGCACCCCTGAGAAGCAGGTGTCATTCCCATTTCACAGAACAGAAAAAGGAGACCCGCAAAGGGTAAATAATTTGTCTAAGGCCACACTGCTGGTGAGAGGTTGAACTGGAACCCAGGCTGGGATGCCTGCACAGCTGCCCTTCATGCCCCCATACCTTGGCTGGGCAGCTTTTGCGGCAGGAGCACCATCTGCTTTGCTGCACAGTGGCCCAGTCACCTCAAATGCTGTATACTCCTGAGACCACTTTTCTGCCTTCTTGGGAGGTGTGCGGTTTCCTCTACCGCTCGCATGCTTCAGTGTTGGCACTGACTTACTGCCCTTTATTGAAGCAGCTGGCTATTCTACTTGCCCCTGCCGGGTGCAGGTCTCTGGCCGCCAAGAGCTCCACGTCTTCTCCCTGCACCCGTATGAGGCAGAGCGCCAGCGTAGTGGAAAGCCAGGGCACGGAGGGGAGGTGACTGTAACTTTGAATGTGTCTTGTTTTTCCTCTGATGCCTGTGTGCAGATCAGAGTCATAAGTGGATTGGGAGTGTAAGCAAGGAGATGCCAGCTCTGGGCTCCAGGACACCCGCTCAGTCTCCCTGGGCATCCAGTGTCTCAGTGGGAAAGTGAAAGGACTGGCTTTGGTGATCTGTCGAGATAGTTTCCAGCTCTAAATGTCATCCTAGGATTACATTTTTTATGGTAATAGCTTAATCGAGATGACTAGAATAAATTGTTTGCAACTGAATGTTTAAGCAGTTAATACTTAATTTGACTTAATCTTCCCAACATCTCCATGTAGTGGGTGAAGAAACAGGCACAGAGGTTGCTTAGACATAGCTGAGGTAGGACTTCAAATCTCCCTACGGGTTTCACTGTATCTCTTGCTTTTTAAAAAGTTTGCTTTTGACTTGAATTGCTTGTGATGCTACTCCTAGAGATATTTGGTTTCTGTCCTTGCCAGTAGCCAGGGTGCAAAATGCAGGTCTGGTGGTTCTGATCTGATGAGGAAGTGTCACTTGTTCCTGGTTCCTTGGTGATCCTCAGGTTTCACACTCATTACTCTTTTTGTTCCAGGATGTTGCGCAAGGTTCTCCGCTCGTAGCAGTCTGTACATTCACTCTAAGAAACACGTGCAGGATGTGGGTGCTCCGAAAAGCCGTTGCCCGGTCTCTACCTGCAACAGACTCTTCACCTCCAAGCACAGCATGAAGGCACACATGGTCAGACAGCACAGCCGGCGCCAAGGTCTGCACTTTCCACGGCCCCCGTGGGGAGCTGCTTCCCTGCAAGAAACAGGAATAGTGCCAGTGCCGTCTGTTCCTTCTTCACCTCTTGGAAGTCGTCGGGCAGTGGGGTTGTGGCCATGGTTGCCAAGCCAAGTGGCCTCTTTTGCACTTTCTCTGCCACTTTCTTGCTTTTGACCCTCTAATCCCTCCCATGTCTTTTGTTTTTTGAGACAGGGTCCCTCTGTCACCCAGGCTGGAGTGCAGTGGTGTGATCATGGCTCACTGGAACCTCAGGGTCCTGCTCAAGTGATCCTCCCACCTCAGTCTCCAGAGTAGCTGAGCCCACAGGCATGCACCACCATGCCCAGCTAATTTTTGCATTTTTTATAGAGACAGAGTTTTACTATGTTGCTCAGGCTGGTTTTGAACTACTGGGCTCAAGCAGTCTGCCCACCTCAGCCTCCCAAAGTGCTGGAATTACAGGCATAAGCCACCATGCCTGGCCCCTCCCGTGTCTTTGAAATGCTTTCCTGGAAGAATGTTTCACTTTGTTGACTTTCCCTAGCATATGTCCCCTAAGCCTGTGTCTCTCACTGGGACTTTTGTCCTGAATTCTGGACCTGCCCCTCCTGTGTTTCCATCTGCCTCAGCTATTCTCTCTCCAAGTAACAAAGGCCAGAGCAGAGTTGTGTTTCAGGAGTGGACTGGGAGCAGTGAGGGCTGGAGAGGGCAGGGTTAGAGGGGAAAGTGACAGTGGCTGGGTGACCTGTAAGGGGAATGCTGAGTATGTGAGTGCCTGGTCATTGGGCAGCTTTGCAGCATGGGACTAGGAAACCTATCCCACTAGGCCTTCTCCACAGTGCAGAATGCAGAAGTGCCTGGCAGCTGTGGTGGCGGCCCCTCTGAGGAGCACGCACATGTGCCCTGCTCTCTGGGGCCTGGTGCGGTTATCGCTCCTCACTGGGCCTGGCTGATGGCATCCTAGCTAGCCCTAGAGTTACTTCTGCTGCTCAGTCCGTGGAAGCTGTGTGTGTCACCAACTGGGTCCTCCTGTGGATTGTGTGACCAGCAGCACCACAGGAGAGCACTGGCCTTGAGGCGCAGCTGTGTCACAGCTGCCGCATTGGCAGGGGACAGGCCTCCATGCCTCGCACAGAGTTTGATGAGGGGTTGGGCTCAGGGCAGGTCTGTGGCCTTTGCTTTCTTGTGATCCTATTTGGAAGTGGTCATGAAGCCCCTCCTTGGGATCTTGAACACTGATCTTTCACAGTTTACAGCAGTTGCCATTCAGCTTTATATTTAAATAAATTGCCCTTCTTGCTTCAGTAATGTCTTGAGAACAGGGAATGTGTGTGCCACCTGATTCATGTTGGAGGGTGTCATCTTTGCTCACAGAGGCCCACATGACCAGGCCCCCTTTCTCTGATGGCTCTATGAGACTACATCACTCAGGCCTCTCCCCTGTTCCGCCGTTCCCTCTCATGGCACACTTCCCCTTTCCTGACCTGGCCAATTCAGAAGTCAGCAGAAGCCCAGTGTTATACCAGATGCACTTTCCTTAAACTCTAGTGGGATGTGAGACCCTCTTCTGCAGCAGCTTGTGTATCCCAGGCTTGAATTTCTTGTGCAACAATGACTCATTTGTGTGTCATCCCCCTTCCAGCTGTCGGGTAGAAGACCAGGTGTCACCATTTCTCCTAGTGAAAAACGGGCACTAGAACACCTGGTTACTGTGGGATTATGTCATGCCCTCAGTGGGTTGTTTCAGTCCCCCTAACGGTGGTCCTGGGAGTGGAGCCCTCACTGGTGAAACCAAGATAGAAAGTACTTGCCAGGGTCACACCCGCAAGAAGGGCTGGGGCTGGGCTTTGAACTGTGGTGATCATGACTGTTTTGCCAGATGCTCTGCTTACTAATGTTTATTTAGTGATTGTGTTAATATCTGGCCCTTGTACATGTCTGGTCTCTCTAGTAGTAAATGTTTATAGAATTAGTAAAGTGCTAAATAAGGAAATTTATTAATAAATGGGTATCATTTGCACTGAGATTATTCATGGTCTCTTCACAGGGAGCTGAATCCTCAAGAGAGTCAAGGGAGTTTTTAGAAAGTTTTGAAAAACTGACATAGTTTTCCATTTTTAATTTCACCAAAGGATCACTACCATTTTCTTTCAAAATGCTTCGTTGGTACTAAGGGATATTTATTGAAGAAGTGATGCTATATTGATGCTTTTTTTTAAGCTTTGAAGTAATATGACAACTAAAGACGATACATTCTGAATTTGATTTGCTTTTTGTCTAGAATAGATTTTTGTAGATTTGCATTATTAAAAATATAAAATATAATAGACACTCTGGCCAGGTGTTCACAGCCTGCAGGTATGAGTTTGGGGTCAGTAACAGCTGGCGTGGGAGAAATAGGATCAGAGAACTGAGAGCAGGTTTTCCTCTGGGCCAGGCGCTGGCATAGTCAGGAAGCTGCTGGGGACAGTCCTCAGGAAAGGGTGACATCAAGTCCTTATTTGGCTCTTTTGCCCAAATTAATTATTCTCCCATTTTACCATTTGCTTGATGCTTGAAGCTTCCTGTGATTTGGTATAACTGGCATGTACTTGTATACAAACCCAAAACTTGCCTATGCATTGAAATTTTTTGGAAGTCATTATTCTCCCAAAGGTATGCTGATTATTTAAATTTCATAGTCATAGAATAACAAATAATCAAATATTTAAAGAGTATTATGACCAAAAATTAAGACTCCAGATGAAGAAGGGCCTGTTAGAATCATTACATGCTGCATCAGGGCTGGGCACTGTGCTGGGAGCTGAGGGGACAGTGGTGGTCAGATGGCTCTCCACCCTCAGGAGGCTTGCAGTCCTGGTGGGGAAATGTGAGGCTGGAAATGCAGTGGTAGGGGAGGCTCTGGGAGGGAAAGCCCATCAGGAACAGCTCTGTCTAGGGGGCCCCCAGCATGCCTAGAAGTCCTGTGCATCTGCCTAGAGCTGAAGCTTCGGGTCTGTCCTGGCTTTGCCAGGCAGCCAGTTTCATTTCCTTTGTTTACCCCTATATGGCTCCAGTCGGTTTTGGGGTGGCAGCTAGTTCTGGAGTGGAGCACAGAGTTTGGCAAACATGAGCTGACAAGCTGATTTCGAAAATATCCTCAGAGCACAGGCCAGCTAGCAACTGGCAGCTGAGGATGATGTGCCGTGGAAAGGTTCAGTCCTCTCGGGCAGCTCCCGTAGCACCGGGAGGGGAGAGGGCGCAGGCTTTGAAGCCAGAAAGACATGGATGCAAGTCTTACTTTGCTTCTTGCTGTTACCAGTTGGCCTGACCTTAGGAAATGTTATTTAATCTCTCTCCAATTGTTCCTACTGGAGAAAGCCCTGTCAGCCTGAGGATCCAAGACGCATACATAAAGTGTCTGATGTCAGCCGGCATCCCTTCGTGTCCCTTCCTGGGGTGTGTGTCAGGTGCCCCGAGAGACTGGCCGTGGGACTCTGTCATGATAACCAAGCTTCAGGGTCTGGGAAGAGGACAGTCAGTGCTTCCTTGGGGCATCACTTGGTAACATCATGGGCATAAACAAAAGTACTCAGTCTTCAAGGTCATAAAGTAACCGGAGTGTATTCCTTTTTTTTTCAGATCTCTTACCTCAGCTAGAAGCTCCGAGTTCTCTTACTCCTAGCAGTGAACTCAGCAGCCCAGGCCAAAGCGAGCTCACTAACATGGATCTTGCTGCGCTCTTCTCTGACACACCTGCCAATGCTAGTGGTTCTGCAGGTGGGTCGGACGAGGCTCTGAACTCCGGAATCCTGACTATTGACGTCACTTCTGTGAGCTCCTCTCTGGGAGGGAACCTCCCTGCTAGTAATAGCTCCCTAGGGCCAATGGAACCCCTGGTCCTGGTGGCCCACAGTGATATTCCCCCGAGCCTGGACAGCCCTCTGGTTCTCGGGACAGCAGCCACGGTTCTGCAGCAGAGCAGCTTCAGTGTGGATGACGTGCAGACTGTGAGTGCAGGAGCATTAGGCTGTCTGGTGGCTCTGCCCATGAAGAACTTGAGTGACGACCCACTGGCTTTGACCTCCAATAGTAACTTAGCAGCACACATCACCACACCGACCTCTTCAAGCACCCCCCAAGAAAATGCCAGTGTCCCGGAACTGCTGGCTCCAATCAAGGTGGAGCCGGACTCGCCTTCTCGCCCAGGAGCAGTTGGGCAGCAGGAAGGAAGCCATGGGCTGCCCCAGTCCACATTGTCCAGCCCAGCAGAGCAGCACGGTGCCCAGGACACAGAGCTCAGTGCAGGCACTGGCAACTTCTATTTGGTATGAAGCAATCTATTCAGTCACCACCATATAGGTCACTTCTCTCATACTCAGTCTTGAGGATATTCTGGATTAATCCTTTCTATGCAGACGTTTCTGGTTTACAAAAGGACGCAGCCCTGGACTACAAGTCTGGAACTGACAAGTTCTTATGACCTTGACAAATCACCTTAACCTGTCTGAGCCTTAAATTCTCATTTATTTCCTACATAAGGAGATTTGGCTAAATGCTTTCTGAGGTCCTTTGGAGTCCTGTGGCTCCATGGTAATGTGCTCCTTTCCTTGAAAATTGGGGGTTTTGTAATGTTGAGATACTTTGCCTGTATGCTTCTCAGCTCATGACCAGCCCTAGAAGAGGAGTCAAGACATAAGCCACCTTCAGAGGTTCAATGGAAACTTTAAAACCATACCAAACTCTTTTTTAGAACTAGAATTAACAAGAAAAGAAAAAAAGGGAGGGGGTTTATGAGCCTTAGTTCTTGGAGGATTATAAGAGTACTCCAATTTTGAGGCTGAACAGTTAATATACTTTATATCAATTATACATTTAATATAATTTAATTTAAAATAATTTAAAGATTATTGGGAGATAGTCTGACTTTCCTGACTCAGATGGGAATGATCAGATAGGGTTTTTTTTGTGTGTGTGTGGCACAGGCTAAATTTGATGGTGACATTTATATTGTTCAGAGTGTTACATCTTATTTTACAACTTTTAAAAAATGTTAAATCTTTTGAAGTAGGATCAGTTGTGAGGCACATAGTAACTGAGGCTCCGTGGAGCCAGCTTTCATTTCTTTCAGTGGGAGAGGACGGTCTCTGTCTCTGCATTTCTGGTGTCTTGCTTGTCGGTGGCAGAGCTATGCTTGCCAGCCTTTGCTTAGGCAGCTATAGCAGTTGCTAAGTGTACAGGTGACTGGGCAGGGATGGGAGGTGGCCACAGTTAGAAACAAGTGTGCAGTCAGTCCCTGGTGCAAGGACTGTGTGCCTCGGTGCCTTGGGAAATGGAAGCTTCCTGGTGCAGCTGTAGCTGTGGGTGGAGGTGGAGAAGCCAGCAAGACCTCGGTCCTAACCCGTGTTCGTTTTCTTGCTAGCTGTGTGGCGTTGGGCTACCTCGCTTCTCTGAGTACAAATGGTGTGTGGTGAATGGGTCCCAGGTATGCTACGAGCTTTGAGGGCTGCTCTTTTTCTCTTCGTAGTGATAAGTGTTAAACTGTCTTTCTTTGGAAATGTTCACAGACTTCCAACAGCTGAAGTCCTCTGAGTACTGTCTGGCACCCTCAGGAAAGTTCCTGAATTCAGTACCATCATTATTGTTTTTGCATAAGACTTTGAGTGTAGTCCCTGCCACCAGAGCGGCCTCTGCCATGGGTCTCTAAGGTGGGACCTGTCCCGGGCCTGCCATACATGTGTGTGGCACAGTGTGAAACGTGTCACGGAGTGCCATGGTAAGGTGACCCTGGGTCACCCAGGCAAGGCTCAGTGTTTGTTTCAGAAAGCAGAGAAGTATGTAATTGATTTAAAAAGTTTCTGTGTAAAATATTTTACTATGTTTTAGACTTTGGAGGAATATACTTTGCTTCTCTGGATAAGAAAGACACATACATTGTTCGAGCTCCAAGTTTGTTCGGCCCTCGCCACAAGTGGACGTAGCATTTGGCCCTTTGTGTGCCTTGCTGGCGACTCTGGTTATGGGAGCTCGGATATGTCCCAGAAGCAGGCTTATGGCACTTCTCTAGCTCCCTTGCTACCCTTCCTTTGTGTCTAGATAAGTGACTGATACGCTTTTCTTTGGTCTCAGGAAAGTGGGGGCTCAGCAAGAACTGATTACCGAGCCATTCAACTAGCCAAGGAAAAAAAGCAGAGAGGAGCGGGGAGCAATGCAGGTGAGGCCGTGTGTGCTGCAGCCCTGATGAGCAAGGGCCTGAGGGTTCTCTGTCACTATTACTGGCAGAAGAAACACACAGCAGGTGTTTCTGTGCTCTTGATTTTACTTTTCTGTTCAGAATACCCTTTTTAACAACTCCTTAGTTTTATTTGAACTTAAGGGAAAAAATCAGTAACAAAATTCCCAGCATCAGTATGAACCTATTTTATTTGCCTAAACAAGCTTTGTGAAAGTTAAGGGTTCAAACACCAGTGTCAGTTACCTGGAAGGCTACTAAGGTAAATAAGCAAAGCAGGCCAGGTGTCAGGAAAGCAGAGATTGTGCCTGGTGCTGAATGGCCTTGGGGCCTGATCTTGGCATGGCAGAGACCTGGGGACTGCCACTGTCCCAAGGTACATGTACATGGAGCCAAACTGTGTGTCCTGTGGCATTGTCAGAGTTTTGTTGAAATCTTATTTGAAAATGTTAGCAACTTATTTGTATTTTTAAAGACCAAACAAGAGCTGGTAACCTATGTGGCCTCAAGCATCTGTCCTTCCTGAAAATGGAATAGTGGGATGTAGTGCTTAATGGAAACTGCTAAATCTTTTTCTAAAAAGTAACAGTGGATTTTTAAAATGTATTGTTTTTTGTGTATTTCATTTGTCCTTTGTATTTATCTAAAAGGGTTGATACGATTTTATATCTTGCTCTCTATTCCTAATAGTATCATGACTGACTTCTTATTTAAAATAAATAACAATTGCCGATTTTCTGTTAATCAGTTTTCTTCAAGCCAGTGTTTCCCTATAATGTTGTATGCATCAGTGTGGATTGTGACTTAGGAAGAGACACCTCCACGGTTCACGAAGTACCAGAATGGAACTTGCAGAGATAATAGAAGGAAGTGTGGTGGTGAAATTTGTAGAAAGAGTTGACCATAGACCAAGTAAAGTTCATGAAGGAAAGCAGATGCCTTTATTGAACCTGATAGATAATATTGAAGGAAAAAGAGACAAACATTCAAGTATATACCACGTGTCCTATTTCTTACATTGCTTTGGAGTACTATCTATAAAGGAGATTTGATGTTTTCATTACTGTTTTTGTAAATATTTCAGCATTATGTTTAAAAAGTTAAGGATATTGGCCAAGTGCGGTGGCTCATACCTGTAATCCCAGCACTTTGGGAGGCTGAGGCGGTGGATCACCTGAGGTCAGGAGTTCAAGACCAGCCTGGCCAACATGGTAAAACACTGTCTCTACTAAAAACACAAAAAAATTAGCTGGGAGTGGTGGCGCATGTCTGTAATCCTAGCTACTTGGGAGGCTGAGGCAGGAGAATTGCTCAAACCTGGGAGGTGGAGGTGGCAGTGAGCCGAGATTGTACCACTGCATTCCAGCCTGGGTGACAGAAAACAAGACTCCATTTCCAAAAAAAAAAAAAAAAAAGTAAGGACATTAAAAAAAATTATAGCCACCTACTGTTGCCAATTCTTTAAAAATTAACAGTATTTTCTTAATGTCAGTATCTAGCAAATGTTCAAATTTTCAGTTGTCCCAGATGCCTCAAATGTTTTGTGTAACTGTTTGTTGGAATTAGAATCCAGTGGGGTTCATATGTCACTACTGGTTGATACATCATCTCTTGACTCTGTTTGACAGCTGTAGGGTTCTCTGCTATCTCTTGTCTGGTTTTTGTTGAAGGAACTGATTGTTCTTTCGAATGTGCCAGTCTGGACCTTAATGATCACATCACTATTTTAACACGTTCCTTCCTTTTTTTTCTTTTTCTGTAAATTAGTAGTTATGTCTAGTGGTTAGATCTGGTTGGTTGATAAAACTCTGCTGCAGGTGGGAGTGGGTTCTCGCTGGAGGCCCCCAGCCTTTGGCGGGCTGTCTATCTGTACTGCTGGCGACCATTGTGACCAGATACTGGATCCACTTATTCCTTAGGGGTTACTCTAAACGGTGGCACTCTAAATCTGTCATTTCTTTCTTTCTTATAGCTGGGACATGTCTATAAAGAGCAGCTTCTCATTTTTTTACCCTGAGGTGCAGTTAATGATGTTTGAATCTGTTTGAGTTTCTTAGCATTCTACAGTGATGGTCAGAGTATTTTAATGCACTCATTGGTTTAAATACTTCATAGACTTCTAAGGGAAATTGAAACCTGGTACCTGCTAGGTCTCCTTGTGTGAGTACAGCAGGAGAATGTCGTCGTGAGGGTGAGGCTGCTGCCACCGCCACCCACATCCTTGAAAAGCCCCTCCGGGTGCCTCAGCCAGTGGAGGAAGGCCACTGTCTCTTTTCCAAAACCTGCAGGGCACCGTTGTCTTCCTGCGCCCGTGTGTCTGCTGTAGTTTTAGACCCCTGCCCCCCCCCCAGCATGGGGGGATGCCCGCCTCCCCTCAAAACAGCATCCTGCATACTCATGCTGCATTTATCACAGCTGAGAGTCCCCTGTGGCCGCAGTCCTGGGAGCTGAACGGCAGACTTGATGTAGATATGACCAGGCTCCCCCAGTGCCCTTCCCTGTTCCAGGCCGCATGTGCATTTAATTGTCACACCTCCCCATCTCCTCTGGTCTGGGTGAGGGCCTTGGCCCTCCCTTGTCATGGTGCTTTCAAAGAGGGTGGGCCTATCACTTTGGACTGTCCTCCCTGTGGGCCTGCCTGGTATCTTCTGGAGATGAGACCTGGGCTGGGGTTGCTAGAGATGGGGGCGAGGTGCCCTCCCCCACACATCCTCCCTGGGCTATGCTGTCTACATGTCAGGTATGTAAACCTGGATCCCTGGTTAGGGTGGTAGCTGCTAGGTTTCTTCACCATCAACTTCTTGGTTTTCCTTTTGTAATTAACTATCTTGCAGTGGATGCTTTGAGACTGTGTGTGGAGCTTGGGGCTCCCTAAGACCATCTTCACTTCTGATACCAACTGCAAGCTTGGGGGTCCTCAAGACCACCCTTAGGTAATTCTCTAGAAGGACTCATGGAGCTGACTGATAGCTGTTGTACTCACAGCTAACGCTTATTGCAGCAAAAGGACACAAATTAAAGCCAGCTGAGGGAAAAGGGGCCCAGGCAGGGCTCATGAGAGTTCCTAGTGTGACACTTCAAGTGTCCTCCCATGGAGGTGTGAACAGTGCCAACTTCTCCCAGCAAGTGACAGCACACACAGGTACCATTGCCCCCCAAGGAAGCCCACCTGAGACTCGCAACAAATCTGGAGTTTTGTTGAGTCTCAGTTGTGTGGACTTGCTGGCCTTACTCTCCAGCCCTCCAGAGGCTGAGCTGGCGCTGTGTGCCTGAGGCCTCCACCATGGGTTAGCACAGACTGTGGAAGTGGCCCAGTGCGCCCAGTTAGACAGACATTCTTACCAGACAGGGCATTCCAAGGGCCTAGAGATCTCCCAGGAGCCGGGGCCAGAGGCCAGGCCTCTCTGGACAGGGTTAACCCTTTGCCTTGCAGTGCAAGTGCCCTGTTTCTCTTTAAGCTTTCCTCTCACGTAACACTCAGCGGGGGCTTTTGCCTGTGGGGTTCTAATGGTGATTTTCCATTTCCCTTATTTTTGTATACTTATTTATTAGAATTTTGTAGGGAAGAGCTGTCTCTTCTCCCTCATTTACTTATTCAGTTATGCAGTATGGATTCAATGATACTGATTTGCGATCTCCGCTCACTGCAAGCTCTGCCTCCCAGGTTTACACCATTCTGCCTCAGACTCCCGAGTAGCTGGGACTACAGGCGCACATTGCCACGCCTGGCTAATTTTGTTTTTGTATTTTTAGTAGAGACGGAGTTTCATCGTATTAGCCAGGATGGTCTCGATCTCCTGACCTTGTGATCCGCCCGCCTTGGCCTCCCAAAGTGCTGGGATTACAGGCGTGAGCCACCGTGCCCGGCCTCAACGGTATTGATTCTTTAGGCTGTAGTCAATATTGGATTATGATTAATATTATCACCATTTATTTTGTCGCTCCAGTTGTTCCAGCTGTGGACAATCCTTCAGTTGGATTCTTGTGACCCATCAGCATTCTCCATCCTAGCTTTTTGTTTTGAGCACTTCCTTCCTTCCTAGCACCAGCAGGCTCTTGTATTATCCCTGTCCCTGCCCTGGAATCAACTCCTCCTCCATAGAGCCCTGGTTTCTTTTGTTAGAGGGTGGTATTTAGAATGCAGACACTAGGTATACTTACTGTTACTGGTGTGTTGTTACACTAGGGTTTCAGTGGTCAGTGCTGGTGTTCATGTTAACCCACGCTGTGCTTTGGATTCAGGCTATTTCAAATTTTAGATGATATGGTACATATATTATGTATTCATACCACTAGTTACTACATTGGTACTTTTCAGCAAAATATATCTAAGTGGAATCAAATAAAACTGTAAATAGCTTTACATCAGTTCAGGTCAGTTATGTTGCTAAATTACTTTTGGCATTAAGTTCAGGGGGAAAAAATGGGGTTTGGGACTTTTTGGGTTTCAGGATTTGTGATTGAGAGACTGTGGACCTGTAATAAGTTCAAGAATGAGCAGTTTCTGTGTAATAGGACTGTTAATGGAATCAGGTCATTTAGAAACAGTCAAGACTCTGCTGTTGTGAATATGGTTAGGAGCCAGTGCACACCTCAGTTCTTAGGAAATGTGCAGTCTGAGCAATAGCATCTGAAATTCAAGACTGTTCCCATTGTGTTGCTGTTGAGTGTAGAAAATAAAATGTGCCAATTTCTTTATCTCGAGTATTGAGATTCTCCCCTTAGAATAAAACAAGAGTTTTTCTCTCAGTGTAAAACTGTCAAGTTTTATTCTTGAAACGAATAGCAAAGTTAAGCTTAAAAAAAAGCGTAAACAGCTTCAGAACTATAAATGGGTATGTATACCTCTCTGCTGTCTAAGGGGCAGAGAAGGGAAAGATGATGTAGTGCTTGTCAGAGACAGCAGCAGGACACATGGTGACAGAAAACCAAGGGTATCCTGTGTCACAGTGAAATGTAATGAGGGCAACTCTCCTGCCAAG